TAGTGCACCCAGTCCTAGGCCCAACATGAGTACAACTGAGAGAACGCACGTTAGGGATACAGGTAAATGGGCCCCGCCAGACAGCTGCAATGTTCCGAGGAAGCGTCGCAGGACGGCGTCTGGGCAGGGATAAGGCCTGTGGCTTGTTCCTTTACACTGAACTCGGAGCGTGCGTGCAACTCCAATATGTCCCGAATCGAGTTGGATCATGCTGCGCCTGTGGAATGATGGCACGTTCTTGTTTCGCCCGGGGCCAACACACACCCCTCCCCTTGCTGTTTTTTGCGCCGCTGCCTCCCTCCGTCCCTGTCGTCGCCTCCTCTCCCCCCCGCCGCCCGGCTCTGTGGCCTCCTTCGCTCCTCTCGCGGGGTGGCCCCCCGCCTCTGCGGGAAGCAGGTTCACGACCGAAGAGTCGAACCTACGATGTTTCCCGTACAAGGCAGTTTTAATACATCGGATGGTTATTAATGGGATGTTTAATACATGACTAATGTATGAATAGATTCATGCATGAACCCATCGTTGTTTTTAATACCAAATCCGTGCATTCTCAATACATGATCCGCACGCGAAGCATGTATTAAAAACGGCACTGTAGGTAGAGGAAGGTTAGGGAGAAGGTCGCGAGCCCTTTCCCCATGCGCCGCGGACAGGCGGCGCGGTACCTCATACCAATGCCTGAGCCGAGACATCCATAGAAGGGTGATACTGAGCGGACTTCACACACAGCCTCTCCCCCCTCCTTCCGCTCAGTCGTTTTCGCCTCTGGAAAAAGCGGAATCGTTTTCGCTCAGTGGCTCATGGTGTCCCCTGTTTGGACCTGGGGGGAGACCCCCTCAGGATCTTGACAGCGCGAGGTGCAACGTGCACCATTCGCGCACGCCGATCCTGCGCTTGGCAGGTGGGAGTGAGCCTCTAGATCACATGGCGATTGACCGACCGACAGACCCCCTCAACCTCCCCCTCCTTATCCCACCTTCCATCGATCCCATCCCCGACCTTCTTCCTCCCTCTTCCTGGTCAGCAGCCTCATGATCAGCCTCGCCCTCCTCCTCGTCGTCAGTAGAATCCTCATATTACTCATAATTACTTTCATCATCATAAACATAATTAGCATCATAATCAGCATCAGCATCAGCAGCGTAATCAGCAGCAGCATCATCATCAGCATCATCAACAGCAGCATCAGTATCATCATCATCGTCATCATCATCAGCATCATCAGCATCATCAGCGTAATCAGCATCATCAGCATCGTCATCATCATCATCGTCATCATCATCATCAGCATCATCAGCATCATCATCATCACAATCAGCATCACCATCCTCATCATAAGTAGCATCAACACAACCATCAGCATGACCATCACCATAATCATCATCCCCTTCCTCCTCAGCATTATCAACATCAGCATCATCACCACCACCATCATTACCACCATCATCAGCATCAGCATCAACATCATCAGCATTATCAGCAGAATCTTCGTCAGCATCATCATCATCATCATCATCATCATCATCATCACCAGCATCACCACCACCATCAGCATCGACCTCGTATTCACCATCTGCATAATCAGCATCAGCATCATCCTCATCGTCATCAGCATCGCCCTCCTCATCATCATCATCATCATCATCATCATCAGCATCATCATCATCATCATCATCACCATCATCAGTATCAGCTTCCTCATCATCCTCATCATCACCATAATCAGCAGCAGCATCATCATCAGCATCAGCATCATCATCACCACCAACAGCATCATCATCAGCAGAAGCATCATCGACATCATCACAATCAGCATCATCATCAGCATCATCATCGCCATCATCAGCAGCACCATCAGCATCAGCATCATCATCATCATCATCAACATCATTATCATCATCATCATCATCATCATCATCATCATCATCATCATCATCATCATCATCATCGTCATCACCACCATTAGCATCACCAGCCTCATCATAGGCCTCATCATAATCAACCTCATCGGCATCGTCAGCATCAAACACATCAGCATCATCGACTTCAGCATCATCATCATCATCAGCATCTTCATCAGCATCAGCATCAACATCAGCATCAGCATCAGCATCAGCATCAGCATCAGCATCAGCATCAGCAGCATCATCATCATCATCATCATCATCATCATCATCATCATCATCATCATCATCATCATCATCATCATCATGCGTGCACATGTGGCTACGACACCTTTCATCCAGGACCCGAGGGGCAACATCAGGCGGGGCCCTGGCTCACGGGGGGGAGGGAACATCGACCTGACGTCGGCGATGCGTCGCCTATATCGATTGGAGGCAGGCCCCGATGGCGGATCCGCACGGCCCTGCGCGGGGCAAGCTGTCGGGCCCCTATCGGCGATCAGAGGGCCACTGGGGCTCGACGCATCCCCCCTGAGCCTTTCCCCTGGCCTGACTCGGGCCTCAAGCGGCCGCTCGGGACGACCCTGGCGCCCCGGGAACGCCCTCGGCGAGACGCAGCTGCCGGAGAGCATGCCGAGGCTCGAGAGCCGGAGGGAACCGCCGAGAACGCCCCGAAGACCTCGGACCCCGAACCTCGAAAGTCCGTCCCCCCCAGTAGCCGGTCCCCCCCTTGGCGCTGCCCCGGAGGGCCCCTGTCCTCCTGAACCCCTCCCCCTGGAGCCTCTCCCCTCCCTGGCGCGCGGAACGCGCCGGGGGCGGCGCCCGAGGCGCCACCTCGTCACCAGGGGGGCGCGCAGCGCAGATCCGCGGAAGTCCGAGCGGACCGAAAAATCATCCTCGTGCCGGAGTTCCCCGGTCGGCCCACGGCGGCCCAGCGCCCTCCGCCCCGACGGGCCGCCCGGGCCCCTGCCCCGCCGCCCCGGGCGCCCGGAGAGCTCGAGCCTCGAAAGCTCGTCCACCCTCGAGCCTGTCTTGGCGACCTACCAGACCACCCCAGCCCAACCCTCCGGTCGGGCACCCCAGCCCAAACCTAATGATCCCCCAACTAGATTTGGCTCTGAGTTGGCATTCCTCCCGGAGGGGAGCACGCCCGACTGGGCCAAACCCGGAGACCCGACTTTCGGGTTGTGGGGGGGAGGTATGGGCTCCAGATATGTGTTTATTCGATCATCCCCGACCCCACCCCTCTGCCCCCCCCCTGCACAGGACATGGAAGGCAGATCAGGGCCTTCGGGCTGGGTGAAGGTGGTTTGGTGGGCGGTGATGTCTGCCGCCCCACCCCCTTCAGGCGCCACCCCTGGCCTGTCCTCCAGGGCTCCTCTTCTGCAGCCGAGGTCGGAGGATCGCGGCGCATCGCCGATGCGCCACCGGTGCTTCGAGGACGTCGGCGTTGCATCGGCGACGCCCGCGCAGAGCAGATCGGGCTCCGCATCGCGCCGCATCGTCGCGCCGCATCGCCGAAGCACTGGCGATGCGGCGCGATCCCCGACCCCCCTCTACTCGGGCCCCACACGGGAGGTCCAGATCTTCTTCCTTCGCGGACGCGTTGACCCGGGCTAAGGCAGACCCCGGCCAGTCGGGCCCTGCAGGATCCTGCAAGATCCCGCAGGATCACGCAGTATCCTGCGCGCTGGCCCGGAACAGTGCAACCCTGGCCCTGCAGGATCTCGCGAGGACATGCGCTCTGGCCGACCCCTGTTTGCACTGACCCCCGTCTCAAGGCCCCCAATTCGTGTCGGCGGCGAGCGAGGGAGAGAAGTGAGAAGGAGCAGGCCGTCTCTCAGAAGGCGGCGGGGCTTCTCAGAAGCCCCCTGGCCTTCTGAGAAGGGCTATGTCTTCTGTCTTCAAGGAACTTCTCAGAAAGCCAGGAGCGTTCCGATCCTTATGAAAAGGCCCGCCCCTTTTCACACACCCCTTTAAAACGTCGACCCCGAGACCCCAGAGGTCTCGAACCCTCCCCTAGGACCGATTTTCATCCTGAGTCGCTCTCTGACGGTCCCGAGGCCAC